CGCCGAAACCCTACAACACGCTTTCGATCGTCTGGTCTGAGGACCTTTCCCTGCCGTGTCCGTGCGGAAGCTTCAGACAAGCCTCACCTCCAGATCTGCATGAGAGTGTCAGTGTCCGTCCAAACCTTGAAACCAAGCCTGAGAAGCCCCTGAAACCGATACTATTTTGGGGGTTCCTTGTTATAACTACAGTATAATGCGCCCCAAAGCCCTATTCTCATCGTGAAGGCCCCTATAATTAACTCGTCTTGAAGCCTGAGATCCTCAGCCGAGGTCCCGGACCAGTCGCTTCCGTTGACTCCAGACCCGACGCCGCTGGAAGAAGTGCGGCGACTGGATGAAGTCTTTGGGGGCGACAGGCGCAGCTACAGTGCTATCAGTGCTACAGTTCTCTGGTATCCAGATCAGGTAGGTGGGATCCATGCCCTTTTGGAAGGATTGGAATCTGGAGGAGGGCGTTTTGATGCTGCGTCAACACATGGGAAGCTCGTAAGATTTATCTGTCCTTTCCTGGATCGAACTTCGCTGTGGCAGTTTCTTATCATGACTCTTAACTGTTTCTGCCCGGGGAAAAAGCCGTGAGGCAGCTTGATCGATTTCGCGCAGATTTCGTCTTCGCAGAGTTCCGGCCTGAGCTCTTGCAATGCATCTTGAATTCCTGCTGCCCTAGAAAGTGCTTTACATTTTAATTTAGTAGTTTTACGTAGCTGGCCTTTGCAGCAAGGAGTCAGACCACCATGTCCCTGCGCTTCTTTTCAGCGCAGCCATTTGTCGTCCACGTTGTCGGAGGGAGCAAGGGAGCTCATGAAATTACACATCCCCTCACTTTGCGTTGTCGTTTCTTGTTATCTTGTTGTGAATTCACTGCAGTTCTGCAGTTGGTCTATCATTTTTTGTTTTCGGTACTCATGCTTCCAAGCAGCAGTTGACTTGTGTTTGTTTGTTTTATCTCGCTCTCTCTCATTCTCTATAGATGCGGGAGCCCTGAATATTCATGATATTCTTCTGGAACAGCCAGCACCTCCTGTGCCGGATGCAAGACTGACCGTTGCTTGGAGGTTCGATCCGATGTACGGGCCTGTGGGCTCGCTCCTCAGAGACATCACGGCCATGGTGTTGTGCCAGTTGAGCCTGCGCTGCCACGGTGGCTACCGAAGCGAACGCGGCAGGTGCAGCAGGAGTCTGAAGTGGGGGCACGGCACCAGCAGAGTGATTACCTGAGTGGTAGGCAGTAGTGGCAGCGACGACGACGACCTTGCTACGGCGACGACGACTACTACTACCTACTGATGCTGTGGGTCCGATGTCGACGAGGACCCATGACGACGATCACGACTTAAACTTCCAACTATGGCACTGGTGGAGCAAGAGTTGTTCGGGAATGGTTCCGTTGATTTGTCTCGGCAATGGTTCGCAGCGAGAAGATGAGAAGACAATGCTCACATTGCAAGGACCCAGCACGCTGACCGTGTGAAAACTTCGGGTAGGATCATCAATACGTCTCTGATATGTTTTCGCTCAGAGCAAGTTGATGTGGGTTTTCTATGGCCGTGCACCTTTTGTTAGATGTCCCCATATTAAGGCTTGTAAATATCTTTATTACTTGTGTAACGCTTAGAATTCCGGTCTTGCACTCAGCTGCCGTGCTTCTGCAAGTAGTCGCATGGTTCTCGCAGTCTTGGTCAAGGCTTGTCTCCCTTGGAGCGGGAGCGGCGGCTGTATGTGCCTGGGGCAGAACCTGTGTTTCCACGTGAGATGTCCATTTGACGTAGTAGTCGCTGTTTGTCTATAGCGATCTGGCTGGTCCGATGTTGCCTCTCCCCTCGTGTCAGAGGCTCCTTTCATGCACTCGAGGCAGAGGATTTCCTGCGATTGATGATCGCCGGGTCCACAGCAGCGCTTGTGAGGCGCAGTTCCTACAGAGTTGTTGTCTTAGGTGCGCAATTGATAAATCCAATATTTGGAAGGATGTGGTTTGGGTGTTGTTGCCGTAGCTGTTGCTGTTGTCGTTGTTACCGTCGGAATCATCGCAGCAATGAGTACAGTAGTACGGTGCAAGACAGTGGCATCAAACTCTGACAGCCTATAAGCAGGACGCTGCTGTTCCTGCCAATTCAGAATGTGAAGGCCTGCCTGATTCCGGCTTGCTATACTCATGGCCCTACAGATGTAGTTTGCGTGATTCTTTGTCTCGCTCGGGTCATGGATCCAGCCGCGGAAGACGAGGGTCAAGAGTTGGAAGGAACGCCTCCACCACAAGCCCCTCCAAGGCCGCTGAGCCTCTGCAGCCTTTCAGCAAAGAAAGGAAACGCAAAACACGCAAAGCAGAAAAAGCAACGGGAGTCCTGCATCCCGAAGTTTTGTTCTTGCAGGTTCGAATGCAGACAAATCCGGCGCTCGGTGGTGGCAACCTCGGCGCAGCCCTGCAGGAGATCGCCGCGCCACTGGGTTGCAGCCTTCCAACATAGGGGCCTCATTTAATTTGCCAAAACCATTTTTGGGGGGGGTCCTTATTATAGTTACAGGAAAAATGGGCCCCAAAACCCTATTCTAGTTGTTCACGCCCCTAAATTAGGCATAGTTGGGCTTGGCAGCACAATGCTGCGTATTTTGGGCCGATGCCCCATAGCGATATACCCCAATTAAAGTTCACATATTGACTCACGCCACCTATGCTCTCCGAAGTAGGGTTAGGACCCGAAAGTTGGAAACAAGACATCTCAAAAAGGTCCATTTCTTGGCAACAGTGGTTTCGAACTAATCGTGGAGACCATAGAAGCCATAGACCATAGAATCGGATTGTCCGAAGGGAGTCACATCGGAGAGTCTGGGTATGGGCCAGCTAGAGCCCCAAGGGTCCAAAGGACCCAATAATTAGGTACTCGGTTTTAGGATAGTAGTTATGTAGGTTACTATTTGGGAGAGTATATGAGAATTAGGTACTTGGACCCTTCGGGGAGGGTTTCCTGACCTTGCTGCTTCGAGGACAGAGCCGCCTGTCGCGTTCTTCAAAGCTGTGGCCTCCTGTCTGCACAACTTCAAGAGCCACATCCAGGTCTTTGGGAGGGATGTGTGGCGAGTTGAGACCGTAAGAAATTGGGATGCATACTCATGTAGTAGCCTTGATGATGTTATTTAGAATAGGGTTTTGGGGGGTTCCTTATAATATCTACAGTGTACGTAGTTCACCCCCTAAACCCTACTCTAATTATTAAGGCCCCTACCTTCCGGTATGGCTTCGAGAAGGGGGAGGCCGGGTCTGAAGTCCATGAGCTGAACAAAAACGGGCCCAAACTGTCTCAGGGGTACCTTGCGTTGGGGTCCTGTTAATAAGGATCCTACTATTTGGGGTACTATTTTAAACGCACCTGTCCTATCCCAGGACGTCGCTGCAATCTATGCCATCGTGTTTGGCTTTTTTAGCTTCGGTGTCAAGGAGAGGCGATGATCGACTGGATGCCAGCGGGGGTAAGTATGTTGACTTAATTTGCGAGATTGGTAATTATTCACGCATGCATCATCAGTGAGGGGCCCGTGAACGGCCAGACGTCATGGTTAGCACCTTTGCATGGGGTTTTGGTGTGAACATTAAACCCATATTAAACCCTTAGCAGCAGCAAGAGTCCTGAAACAACCCCGAATCCCTGAGACCGTGCAGCCGTGCCTGCGAGAGCGAGTGTGCGAGTCGAAACCCTGAATCCCTGACCCCACCAGGACCCTCCTTGTACTCTCAAATAGGGGTATAAGGTCTCAAATAAGGGGCATTTAGGGTCTAATAGAGGGTAGATGGAGGGCCTAGGCAAGAACACGAAGAAATGTAAGCAAGTGCTTGTGATACCGGCGTGCCAGGAGTTCCTGACCAGGGAGCTGGTGCAGCCTGGCCGAACCCACCAAGGGCAGCACATCAATGCAATATATATATATATATATATATATATACATACATACATATATATATATATAGACAGATAGATAGAGATGTTTGTATATATATATATATATATACATATATGTATATGTATTTGTTGCTAGGCTTTGTACACTCTCTTTTTAAAGCTGTCTTCAGCTATTTCCCTGTTCGGAAGAACATGCTTGTAAGGTCGCTTCGTTGATGGTAACTGGCTGTACAGTGCGAATAATGTGAGACAAATTGCGGTATATCGAGGAGTCGTACCAGTTACTAAAACCGCGACGGTGCTGCAAGCCTCGGATGCTTCACACCCCGACTACACATGCAGAGCTCCAGCTTAAAGTTCTCTGCATCACGAACAACATGTTGTTGAGGACTTGATGGTGGGTTTGGGCCCCTGTCGATTTTAAAAGAAAATGATGTGACGTTGCTCGCAAATCGCAAATATGCATTGAAATCAGGATACAGTTCCCTGGCCTTAACGAGCTCGTTGCCATTGACGCTTGGCTCAGCCTTTGTTCGAGATCCGTGCAACCGCACGATGCCACCAGTAGATGGCAATCATACGTAGCCCGTTGCTACACAATGCCGACAACAAAGATTCGCGTTTGCCCTGAGGCATACAGTAGCTGATTCTTGCATTCACGTCGAGATGATCGCATGAGCCCACAGCTGCCGCAGATTTTGGCCTCCATCGTCAGTGTCTTTGTCACCATGGCAGCCGGAACCCCTTGGGAAGTCTTGCGCCTCGGCCAGCAACCTCATGACACCGAGGCGAGTGATAAACTCTCGAACCTTTGAGAAGAATGATGGTCTACTAGATTTCTTCTACGGAACACTGCCGTAGAGTCACAGGAGGGCAATCAGCAACGCTGTCATCGCCCAGCTAGGAATGCACCCTCGGGAGACGCGATTTTCAGCTAGCTGCATGGAAGACATAATTTCATCATCCCATCCCCTGATCTGCAGCTGAACAGAAAAGTGCCGTCGCCCATGCCCAGGACGACCAAAGTCATGGCTGGCAGCGGTGGGTCTGGCGAGTCTGGTGGTCGCTTCTGGGGCCTGTCCTTGCTTCGCGATCAGCTGCAGGATGACCCAAAGAAGGCAGGAGGAAGGTTTCAGGGCTTGGCTTGACGGTGACGGCTATGCATGCTCCCAGAAAGGAAAAAGTGAGCATTCTTAGTTGAGCGGCGCAGAAAGGGCGATGGGTTTTTTGTTTGTTTGGGTTACCGTGAGCACGAGGACGGATCCCGTGTTTTCTACCTTCAAGCGCGGGTTGGTCTGAACCTGGGTCCCTGGTTCCTTTTCGGCTTAAACCCTTTCTCGGAACAGCTTCCAAGAACTCGAATACCAGCTGCGGCAAGAAGAATGGCCGTCGACTTGATCTGGCTCCTGCTCTCGTCCAACTCAGCATATTTCCGCCTGCCAGTCGCAGTGCTGGCCCAGTGCTACAATGATTCTGGATTTTCTGGATATCCGTTAGGCATCACTGTGTCTATGATGTGCGGTTGGCTATTCGGAGGCTGCTGTGGAGCTTTACGAGGAGTACTGGCTTCTTAGTGGCCTCTCGGCGGCATGTTGATGCCATGGTGAGCCGACTTCGAAACTTGCGGAGGGTCAGTCCTCATGATCTAATTATCTGCACCATCCTTCTCGGATGCTCCAGACATCTTTGCTGAGAACGAGCACCCCCCGGCCGCAACACACCGGAAGACACGCATTGTACGTTTACAAACGCCGCCTGTAAGAAGGAGACTAGCATGCGGTTCGAACCGCTGCAGGACTACGCATAGGCTAGTGCGCCAGTGCATGCTATGCCTCCTCGCATGAAGTCGCGAGACCTATTCTCTGCATTTTCGTTCGGATGTAGTGAAAGAGTGCGACTTGTCATCAACAGCATCTTGTACAGTTCCCACAGTACCAAACTGCAACGAGCAAACAGTACTCGAAGATGTGGTCGTGGCTGGCCAACTGCCCTGAAACGAATCCTTGCAGCCCGGTATGCGGAAAGCTTATTCCCCAGCCAACCCCATCCACACTTTGCAAACACCTGACTACTGATGGCCAGTAAAGCTGGCCATTACAGCACCCAAAGGGTCCTATATGTACCGATATAGTAGAATGTAGGGTTTCCATGTTAGAAATTACCATTATGACTTAGGGAAGTATTCCCCATAACGGTACATAGGACCCTTTGGGGCAGTGAGGAAAGGAGCTGGCCTTCGTGGTCACGAAGTTCTTGGTGTTTGACTCTTTGCGTGTGACCCGGCTCGCAACGGATGCGCGGCTCCCACCACTAATAAGCCAGTCGCAGGTTAACGAGAGACCAGTATCGCTGCAGACCTTGCCAGGCTTTGTCCGAGTGTGAGTGTCAAAAAATTCTTAGTAGCTGAGTGGATACACCTTACACTTTTGGGAATAATATTGCAAACTATAAAACTGAAAGCGTACACTTTTTGGGGCTTAGGAATTCAGCAACTAAAGAATTAGCCCCTCGCAGGCACAGAAGCAGCAACATCAAGAGGAGCAGCCATCAACAGCAGCGTCACTGCCGTGCTCAACACCATCCGCTGCAGCAGCCACCACAGCAATAAGATTAGTTGCGGGCTAGTATCTGCGTGCTACGAGCTGCATTATTAAGAACGACATCAAGAATCTCTTCTCACTTGCGACAGCGGCACAACGACGACTACTGCTACCACTGTTACTGGTACTGCTGACTCTTACACGATTGTCCCTGCTGCTGTGTTGTATGGAAGTTGGCAGTCACACCTTTCTTGAGAAGGGCCTGCTGAGATGCCGATGAAGTCAAGCATGGCGAACAATCCGCGTGTTAATCGGAGGAGCAAGTAAGTCAGGCTGCGGGAAAGCAGGTTTGCAATGAAACAGTTGTCTCATCAAAGATGTGTTTCGCAAGAACAGCAGCATGCTACTCAACCGAACCTCCCTGTCTTTTCCAGCCGTTTGACCCAGGAAGCGATACTCTTTGTCGTGCCGGCTTTTGCCGAGGTGCCAAGAAGCCAAAACAGGTTTCGCAGAAGGGCGCTTGAGTGACATTCCCGGTTCCGTCGACAGTGCTCGCTGACAGATTCCGTCCGCAGCGGACAAGGTTTTTGTCTTGCAGGGTTTCCGATTGCTGTTAACGCCGTGCTGTTTTTGTGCTGCAGTCAATGTGCGACGGTTCTCTCAACTCCGACCTCAAATCCATACTCCCACAGCGCATAAAACTCCTGCCTGACACACTTCCCGCTGCATTGATCCAGATCTGAAATACAAAGTCATCATTGCATTTCTTCGACTGGAGACTCAGATAAGATAAGATCTGAATAATTAGCTCATCATATTCCCTAGTCCCTTTAGAGTGTTGTCAAATAGTAAGTCATGCACGATTACGCTTAGCAACACACCAATATAATAGATTCAATGAGAAAACAAATTGAGAGATACACCAAAAGCGAGTAGACACATTCATACGTACGTACGTACACGTATGCATGCATACATATAATGCATGATACTAGCGGTCATTGTTCAGCGACTAAAATGACTAAGCCAACACGCGCAACACACATAAACAACACATGTACATATATGTATATACAGATATACACCCAAATATATGTATATATGTGTGCACATAAGCACATACATACATTCATACATACACACACACACGCACACATATGTGTGTACATATATATATATATAGATATATATAGATATGTCCCAAACCATCCCGCGGTATTAGTCCCGGTATTCGTCCGTTGCCCAATTCCCCCGTTCTTGGTCTATTCGGAAGCGGGGGAGCCCCTAAACCCTAAACCCCTATAAAGAACGCCTAAACCAGGCTCAGTCCTTGCTGGTTGCCTGCGGTTGCGGAGCCGTGGCCGGCGCACTCGGAGCCATTACATCGCTGCTGGGCTATGTCAGACTCTCTAGGGTTCCTTTAAAGGGCTCCGTTCAAAGGGTCTTATATAAGTGTTACTATAAGGGTACTATAACATTGGGGCCTCCGTAATTGGTTACCTATACTGTTTTTTGGGGCTGCTTGTTATGGTATAATATGCCCCCAACCCTTATTCTCCTTTTCAAGGCCCCTATATCAAACCCTACACCCTGAGATGGTGTAATGGATTACTATGCTTTCGAAGGGGTTGCCGCATAGCAGCTGTGGCTTTCGTGGTACGAATCACTATGACTACCGGATATAGCGGGTTACTGATGCTAGAGTTTCTAGAGCTGTAAACGGCTACCGGCTTATAACAAGCATGTGCCTACTGGGCTTCTTGTCAGAGCTTTCGCTGTCCATGGCGAAGACTTCTGCCACTGACGTGCCACGGTCTCTTCCCTGCAGCATGCTACGAGGGTTTTTGCTCAGAAAAGTCTGGAATCAGAGGGAATCTGATCAGCCCCAACCAACCCCAGTGGAGCCAGCATCAGTGGCGTAACATCCGCTTCCCCGACAAAAAAACTCCCTTGGATCGAGGGGCGTCAGAGAGATGAGAAGTGTGGGCCGTGGTTTCCCGCATCCTGGTTGTGGGGATCAATCAAGTGAAGTCTCTAAAGTCACTATAGTGCCAACTGCGCCAGTCTTCCCTTAGTCTGTCTGCGATAAGTTTGAGTGAGCCATCAACTTTAAGCCTTAAAGTATCTAACTTGCACCATGCAGTCATTGCTCCTGAACCGAGTGTGCGACAGGCACCCCATTGATACTCTCTTTGCCCTCCGAACGACCGGAGGCACCTGCAGATGCATTTGTGAGCAGAGTTGAATCTTGCTCGGGTAGCCACCCCGGGCTTCCCGCGAATCTCCATCACATGTGCCTGTTGATGATGGTCAGTATCAATACATGCCAGCCATACACCGGCCATATAGGTACTTTCCGTGAGGTGACTCATTTCTGTGAGCAGAGGGTGTCAAGTTGGAGATGTGCTGCAGGAGCAAAAGATGAGATTCCCAGCCTGGATAGGCTTTTCCGTGGCAGCGCGCTCAGAACGGAACTGCACCAAAGGTTGCACATGTCTCCAGTCGAGGCCCTCAACAGCTAGAAAGACTCAGCAACAAGCAAGCCCTCTTGCGAAGGTGTCGGAGCCCGAGTTCTGATCTACTCGCCGGGCATTGCGTTGACATTTTTGGTGTCGACTGGCTGCATTGCCTCAGCTCGGCAGTCACGCGCATTAATAATGACCTGACAGGCTCCTATTCGCAGTGCTCAGTCTACCAAGTTTTGTCCGTTCGATGATTAGACTTTGAGAAACATGTCAGTTTGTCTCTCCGAAGCAGAGGAGTCTCCACACCAGGACGGCCCTCGCCCTCCAGGGTTAAGCCACTGCAAAGCTCTGCTCCAAGATACGACGCCGCGAAGACTTGGTTCGGTGTCGGAGGAGGTGCTGTCATGCAGACACTGGACCTGTTGCGGCTTGCCTTACAAGATTCTCAACTTGCAGGCCCAGAGGTAGCTTTTGCTTCAGAAGCCATTGTGGCAGCGCGATAGTCACGGTGCTACCTCCAGACCAGGTTTGATAGGTATCGAGAGTGAAGCATGCAGACCTATGCCCCATCTCTCCGATCATAGAGGCCCCGATTTCCGGCATTTTCGGAGCCTCTATAGTCAGTCCGCGGCCCACAAGACTCGGTAGATAGAGTCATTCAGACTGACGAAACTGCCCGGTCGCTGAGGAACCCGAGCCCCTGAGCATGTGACCTTCGTTGAGGCGATTTCAGCACAGGTTCGTGCAATTTTCCCACGAGTCGGATGCAATGTGTAGATGTCAGATAGACTATCCTTGATTAAGCAGAATTCAGAATATGATGTTTTGTGAGCGTTTGAAAAGACGCTTACACCATATCCGATAGCCACTTCCTCTTCACGAGGCACTGAAGGTGTGAGGCAGAAGGCTTGACATCTGCGCCTGCGACTCCCTAAGCTGGGAAGCCCGCAAGCTGGGCCGACCAGTGCTGTACAGCGGACTAGGAGCACGGGAACCCAATCTCCATGTTTTGCAGACACAGAACCGTCAATCCTGGACAAAAGTGCGAGTAGCCCCGAAGCCCCCAAACCCAGCTCCTGAACTCAACGCCTCTTAGATCCTTTGGGTCCCTGTGCTGGTTTCCACCTTCCCGAGGAAGAGGCAGGAACCGGACGGCTTTGGCGCTGCAGTAGCAGAAACACTTCTGTGTGCTTCATTTTACAGCTGAAGTCCATTGGGTAGTTGAACCGACCCGGTAACTGTTGGAAACTTTAGCTTTTGTGCTTGTTTTGCACGGAATGCGGACATCAAGCCACAGGGTCGTTCTTCTAGTGAAAAGGAGCAGGTGCCGCTTGGGACTCATGCTCCTGTCGCGAAGACGCGAGGGATGCTGGCTTTCAAGAAGCATCTCAGAATTTTCGATCAGGCATTTTTCCGTGCGATTTTATGAATCTGCCGCTGTTTCTTCGCACGCTCGAGTGAAAGCGAGGGAAGCCAAATATAGAAGGCGAAACACCTATGAGAACACACATCCCCCATTACTGCACTGTGGTCAGTTTGGCCACAGGAAAAACAGTACTAGCCCGGATTCGCTTAGGGCTGAGACTTAAAATTGTCACCCACAATGTAGCGCAGAACCGGTGGAGTGCAGAACGGTCTCTCTCGACATTTCTGGTGGCTTAGGGATGAGGGTTCAGGGTTCAGGGATTAGGGTTTCATATACAAGTCTTTGCAAAACGGGATTAGGGTTTGGGGTTATGAAGCGGCGGCAGCACTGAATTTCCGAAGATCCTCGGCACTCAGCTCAGGCCGGCCGGGGAAGTTTGCTGCACGGAGGGACGAAGCTGAGCTAACTCGGCAAGTGCGTGGCAGAATGCAGAATCAGCTTTGAGCGCACCAATATCTGAAGTTCAAAGCTAGGGTGTGAGCAGTCCTTAAGTCGGACCTCTGGTAGCTATAGTATGCGATGGTCAACTTGCTCAGCATGCTGCTAAAGCAGTTTCGTGCCCAGCTCTTTGAGCAGACCTTGGGCAATAGCAGTGCTCGATAGAACGCGAACACGGGTTCGAGAAACAATCAGATATATGACAGTCTTAAATATGACAATGACAGAAGACATAAGACAATAACATGATATAATGATGTATAGTATGATACAGTATAACATTACAGATGCCTTCGAAGAGCAGACTCGTGGGCAACCCGTCGAGTCAGCTCGAGCCTGCCTTTCGCCCCGAATTCGTTGCAGAAAAGGATTCGATGTAGTCAGCTTGTGCGTGTGTGTGTGTGTACTACTGGTCTGTGTGTGTGTACATAAATGTGTCTTTTTTGTTTAATGCAGACATGTATCTGTATATGACTGTATAGATGTAGATAGGTAGATAGACAGATAGATAGAGGAAGTTTCACTATGAAGTTGTTGGGAGGCTCGTAATTATTTAGTCTCCAACATGGTAGTCAGTTCATGTCGTTTAGGAGGTCATGGTAAGATCCAGCTTACGTGGAGACTGTAGTTTGAGAGGGACACAGATACACATCTTGCTTTGGTGGTGCAGAACAGACTACCTTGCACTTAGCTCTGGAATCCTTGAGCCCACCTGCAGAGGTCATGCGAAGCTGCTTCCAACTCGGGGTTCAGTCCTCGACTGTTTGTCAATACGTTGAAATCCAGCGACGGAGACCGCCATGTCGTCCTACGCAGCACCAAAGCCTCGTCGCGTTGGCGGCTTCTGGGGCGATGAGGGAAGTTGGCAGCAGGTGGGCCGGAGATTGTAAATTGCCGTCCAAAAGTCTTGCCCGTTCAGTTATGGGCACAAGCTACTGTAATGAGTTGTCCGTCGGGCTTCGTCCTTCAGACGCGCGACTTTGATTTCACTCGAGTATTGAGACTAGCCAGTGGCTCTGAGCTTGCATGAAGTCCACAAGATCACGTGAAGATTTTGTCAGCCTTTGATCAACAGCCATGCAGTTGAGCTCCAAGTGCTCGGGAACTATGAAACCTGCAGCCCTTTGAGCGGAGAATGATAGAGCCTTCATACGCCATAACCACGAATCTCCTGGCCGTAGCCAACTGTCCAAGAAGTACCTCCAAGCCTACGGGTTGTAGCCATGCCTCGCCCGTATGGAAAGCCAATCTACCGCACACCCAAAAGCTTTAAACCTTATACCAAAAAAGCATTAATAAGTACCGGGAGTACTGACGCCTTAACCCCAAATCCCCGAAACCCTCATCCCTGCAAGCCCTTGACCCTAAAGTCTGAAGCTGCGGAGAAAGAGCCACTGCATTAACAAAAAAAATTAAAGTCTGAAGCACCCCCGTCAAAGGCCGCTACAAGGACCAGCCCTGACGAGAGCCCTCGCTGGCCGGGAGCTTTTCTGGAGGGTTTGAGCATTACTTGGAGGTTCGTGGGTACTTATTAGTGGGGTTATAAGTCCCCTAATATGGGTTATAAGTATAGTTACCCCTACTTATAACCCCACTTATAACTTCCCATTAACCTCCAAGTATCTTTTTTTGGTGGGTCAGTTTGTCCGGGTGCGTTAAGTGGTTTGTAGGGCTTTATGAGACCTTGTAGCGGGTTCTCAAAGGGTTCCGTGTGGGCGTCAGGGTGTAGGCTTTGAGACGTTCCGACGTTCCAGGTGAGACGCACTTCAGGGCTGAAGGGCCACGTAGAAGTTCAGGGGCTCGGGGTGAGCATCGAGCCTGATGGACTTCGGTCTACCCAGAGGCTCCATAGTAGTTCCTTTTCGGGATTACCTTATAGGATTCTAAATATGAACCCCAAAAAGGAACTACTATGGAGCTTCCGGGTAGTGTCTTGATGTGTCGTGATTTCTTTTTGGGATGCTTTACGAAGCATGCGCTGCTCTGGCGGCTGTCCCAGGCAGGGTCCGTGAATGCGTAGGCCTTTGGGCATGTTGGGTTTCGGATTGCCAACCTCCTTTAAATTCTGCTTCGGGCTATTCACCAATTCACCACCTATGTCTGAAAGGTACTGCTACATACTGTCACGGTTGGCTTCGCGCGGCTCGAAGACCCTGCAAAGTTTGAACAAGCCATGTGGGAGGTTGTCAAAATTATGGTCCCTTTTGGGAACCCTAAATATTAGCTGCCGTACTAGAATCTGGACCCCCAAAGGGACCACAATTTTGACAACTACCCATGCGCCCGAGGTCGGGGATGGGAGAAGTCCTTGTCGCTCCTGAGCCAAGCTCAGCGCGAAGGCCAACGCCTTTTGCTTGGATCTCTTTGCCCATTCCGGACTCGTCGGGATGGACTTAGAACCCCCCAACTACCCTCTAATATACCCCATAAACCCTAAACCATGGATAAATACCAACTATTAAGGACCATAAGGGCTCCATTAAAGGGCCCTTAAGGGGGGTCCTGGGAAGGTGTGGAGCTCAACGTCTTCCACCTCTCAGCAACAATTGCGGCTTGCTCGAAGGCCTCCCCGTAGCTGCAGCAATGGCAAGTGCAATCTCGCTTCTGTCGGGGGGACTAGCAAGCCACTGAAGCTCCCTGTCGGCTACCGTTGCATTGAGTCTAAACCTAAACCAATCAGTTGCCCAGTGTTTCCTGAGCATCACTGGTGTTCTGTATCTTTAAATGTAAACATGCACGGGCTCCCATACAGACAGGCAGTGCAGTGGAACTGCGCGATTTCCCTGCTGAGCCCCTCGGATACCTGGAGTGAGGACAGGTCCACTTCTGTTGTACATGGTGAACTTTCTTGGGTTTGTCTTTTGAAACAGCTTCTTTAGGACTGCCAGTGCCATTGTGCGATGGTGCTTTCACGGGTTCGTGCTTTGACTGTAGCTTCTCTCGTGGTTTTTTCACTGCCACATGTGCAATACATGTCGAGTTGTATTGCGATTGCTGTGGCCACTGCTCCTGTTGACGCGGGTGTTGCTGTCAGCGGCCGTGATTTACAGCTGTACAGTGAGGGCGGCCAGCACTCACAATGCCATTACTCCTACTGCGCTGAGGGTGTGGTGATGGTAATGAGGAGGGCGTCAAACAAGGCAAGAGTTCGAGGATATGGTAATTATTACTTGCCACCATCATGGGAGTGTCGGTGTTGGTGAGTGCTTGTTATGGTGCTCGTAGTGCCGGTGGTGTCAATGATGATA